TAAAAGGAGATAAAATAAGTATTTTTCCTAAAACCTAATCTAAAATGAAGTTAGGTTCCCCGTGTCGGATACTATGATGCTTTATTTAATTAAGATGATGTGACGATATTATGTAATGTTTGTTTATTTACGATGGTAATATGATGATGTGTGTGTATTTCAGATGATATGATGATATTGTGATGAAATCATGAATGATGATGTGTCTTGACTAGCCGTGGTCTTTTTTATTATGTTGTTGTGCATCATGCATTCATGGCATAGTTTAAGATATCGGTCCAGTGATGTTATTAGGACTTCGGTCCAGTGAAGATGATAGGACAATTGTCCAGTGAAGGCATCAATCCTATAGTGTCTATTTAGTGCAAAATTATGGAGTGATCTGGTTCCAAGCAAGAATCAATCCTATTTGTGGGGATCTTTGGAGATAACGATGACTGAGTCATCAGTGAAGTTTTGGTACCACATGCATGTGTCTATGATGATGCATTTCATTTTAAGTGACATTGCATAATGATGTGATTAAACGATGTTTGTCGATAAATGATGCTTTGATAATATGTTGTCATGATTTGACGATGCTAAGAAGGTGTGAGTATAATATGAGGTTCTTGCGATATTTGGTACCTTGCCTATATGCATGTCTGCTATATTTATTCCTTATTTGTTTTATAATGATTTTAATTTACTTACCCTTTCTGTTTGAATGTTACCTCCACGTTGGTAATGCGCAGGTGATCGAGAATAGTCCGTAGAAGCATTAGAGGATAGCTTCAGAGTATGTTTAAATGCTTTTGTTAAATAAAAGGAGTCTTGCTCTGATATGTAACATCGGGGTTGGGATCGATTGGTTGTGAACCTTGCATATTTTGTTATCTTAAGATTTTGTATTTCTATCATGACTTTTGCAATGTTTTAGGTTATGATATTGTAAAATGTAAATGTGAAGATGTTTTTAACATTTGAAATACCTTTCATGGTATTAAGATTATTTTATAAGAGATTTAAGACTCGTTAATTCCGCTGCGAATTTCAAAATGAATTAGTTGTGATTCTAGAGATGATATCTAAAGTGTTTTCTTTGTAACTCGTGTTATGGAGTATGATTAATCTTTATTTGATGTTTTATGAGGACGTGATGCCCTTCCGTGGTCTTTGTTTGATTTTATATTTTCAAGAAATTATATGCGAAATATATGTGGGTTAGAAGGGTGTTATATTTTTTTACTGAAACAAAGTTTTAGTTCTTAGACCACCCATGGCTGTCAATCAAACTTTCAAGACAGAGTTGAAAGTGATGGAACATAGGTGTCTTGCTACAACGGTAAGTCGTGATGAGTGGTTATGGCATTACCGTCTTGGACATCTCAATTTTCGAGACCTCGACGCGCTACAAAGGAATGGTATGGTGATTGGGCTGCCTAAGATCAATGTTCCAGCTGAGATTTGTGAAGAGTGTCTTCAAGGGAAGCAACACATGAGTAGTTTCAGCAAGGATGCAAGGCATAAGACTAAACATCATCTTGAGGTGTTGTACTCTGATGTGTGTGGTTCAATGTAATTAGACTCATATGGTGGCAATAGGTATTTTATCACATTTATCGATGATTTTAGTAGGAAGTTATGGACATACCTAATCAAGAGAAAGGATTAGGTATTTGATGTGTTTAAAATATTCAAGTCCATGTTGAGCGGCAAAGTGGTCACAAAATCAAAATTCTCAAAACGGATGGTAGAGGTGAGTATACCTCGAATGTGTTTGAGAATTATTGTGATGGTGACGGTATAGGGCATGAGGTTGTGCCACCTTATACACCTCAACACAATGCTGTTTGTGAGAGGAAAATCATTCAATAATGAATATGGTTCATAGCATGTTGAAGGGAAAAAGCTTGCCTAAGGAACTATGGGGAGAAGTTGTTTCTACAGCTACCTATTTGTTGAATAGGTTCCCTATAAAGAAGCTGGATAAGGTGAGTCCAGAAGAGGTATGGTATGGACTTAAACCATGTTTGAGTCATTTGAAAGTTTTTGGTTCGATAATATTTCGACATATTCTGGGATAACTTTGAAAGAAGTTGGATGACAAAGGAGAGATGATGTTACTCGTTGGTTATCATCCTACCGGAGGTTACAAGTTGTTTGATGTGAAAAGCAAGAAGATTGTAATAAGCCGAGATGTGGTAGTGGATGAGATAAGGCTGTTTGACAGCAGAAAAAAGGAAATTTCAATTCAGGAAATCGCTTACCTAGATGAGGGAAATTTATTTCCTTCACGATTTTTGCATACAAAAGCTGCTGGAACTGGAATTTTAGAAGCAGAAATCGATTCCCCCAATTCTTGAAATCGATTTCCTGAAGAAAATGCAGAAAATCTGGATTCTGTAGGTCCTGTACAGCAGCCAGTTGAGATAAAAATGGTGAATCTAGTAGACGGCCAACAAGACGCAAGGTCTACCTAAAAGGATCAGAGATTGTGAAGTATATTCCATGATAATGGGATCAATAATGATGGTGATCTTATTCACTTTGTGCTTATGGCCGAATCTGATCCCGTGGGCATGGAGGAGGCATAAAGCAATCCAAAGTGAGTGTGTGCGATGAAAGAGGAGCTGTAATCGATTGAGAAAAATAGTACTTGGGAGCTGGTCGATTACCAAAACAGAAAAAGCCAATAGGAGTGGGATGGGTCAATAAAGTGAAGGCAAATCTGAAAGGTGAAATTGCCAAGCATAAGGCTCGACTAGTTGCGAAGGATTTTTTTCAAAGAGAAGGTATAAACTATAATGAGGTGTTTGTACCTATGGCTAGATTAGAAACCATACGGCTGGTTGTTGGTATTGTGAATAGCAATAATTGGTTAATTTATCAAATAGATGTGAAATCCACAGTTTTGAATGGTCCACTTGAGGAGGAAGTCTATTTAGAGTAGCTCCCTGGTTTTGTTGTGACAAATCAAGAGGGAAGAGTCTACAAATTGAAGAAAGCGCTTTATGGTTTGAAATAAGCTCCTAGAGGTTGGAACAAACACATTGATACTTTTATAGTTGAAGTTTGCTTCAAGAAATGTGTTTATGAACATGGCGTCTATGTGAAGACGGATGTAAGCAAAGATTGGATCATACTTCGCTTATATGTGAACGATTTATTGATCGGGCAACAATGAGGTGAATATTTCTAAGTTCAAGAGTGAGCTTATGGAAGAATTTGAAATTAGTGATCTTGGAATCATGACTTACTTTCTTGGCATAGAGTTCCACAAGTCAAAATTGGGAATGCTCATGCATCAAAGAAAGTATGCTCTTGAGATTTTGAAAATGTGTGATATTGAGCATTGTAATATTGTCAATACACCTGCTGAAGCAAGGTTGCAGCTGTCCAAAAGTGATGATGAGCAGAATATGCATCTAATGCAGTATATGAGGTTGATTGGTATTACGTTACTTGTGCAATACGCGACCAAATTTGGCGTTTAGTGTCGGTATTGCAAGTAGATTCATGGAGAGACCAAATGTGTCTCATTTGGCAGCATTTAAGAAGATCCTAAGATACATCAAATGAACTCTTGGCTGTGGAATACTCTTTTCCGTAGCTGATACAAGTAGAAAATACAAGTTAGTCGGTTATATGGATTCCAATTGGTGCAGAGATAAGGATGATCAAAAGTCTACAACTGGTTATGTCTTTATATTCGACTAAGCTCCAATCTCTTGGTGCTCTAAAAAGGAATCTGTCGTGGCACTCGCTTCTTGTGAGGCCGAGTATTTCGCTGCATTAATGTGTGCGTGTCAGGCTGTGTGGCTTGTGAATCTGCTGAAAGAGTTGGACAACAAGGTTGAAGAAGTTGTCACACTCTTGGTTGACAATGTTTCAACCATTAATCTTGCAAGGAATCCCTTAGCACATGGGAGGACCAAGCATATCGAGATGAGATTTCATTACTTGAGGCAACTGGTGTGTGCTGACCAACTGAGGTTAGGATAACAAATGTGGTATTCAAGAAGCTTGTGGTGAGTTTGGGTATGAAAAACTTAGAGCATTTGAATTAAGGTGGTGTATTGAAAGTTTAAAATAATTCAAATGTATTGTGGAAGCTTCAAGATTCGTTTAGTTGAACAACCGCTTATTTAAGAAGCACATATGGAAATAAAAAATCTGGAATTTTCGAAGAGGAAATCGATTACCACAACTTAGTTTTTCTGATTTTCGCATTTTCAGTTTAGAAAATCAATTTTCTTGTTTTGGGTAATCGATTTTCAACGCGATTTTTTTGTGTTTTTTTGCTGTTTTCTTGTGTCTGTTTTGTTCCAACTTATTTTGTGAGTTGCTTATAAATACCTCATGTAATAATTTATTAATTGTTAATGTCAAATAAACATTTCTCCTCAATTACTGTCGATCATAATCTCCAAAATTCTCTCTAACTTTATACTCTAATTAACCATTTTTCACCGTTAATTCACTATTTTATTTTTTGTTCATGTTCCAACAATCTCGACATATAGCTGCAAGTTGTACCATTTATATATCTCGGCCCGAATAAAAAACTTATCAATTTGAAATTTTATAAACAAAAATCAAATTTTCGCTTTCTTCTATAAGAAAAATATAATTTTCCCTCTCTTTCATCTAGATGCAATTTCATAAAAACCGTAGCAACTTTAAAATGCACAACAGGTGGCTTGCAGCTAAATGCAGCTACCATGAAATTAAATAATACAAGTTGGTTGTTCTACATCACTCGTGACACATTCGTGGTGAATCTAAAGTGAAACGTATTGGACGGTGCGATTTTATAACATTTAACAATTTTTAATTGCGCATATTTTCAACGTTTGCCATCTTTTTTTGACATGTTGGTCAATATTCATATTCAAAATTTCACACCCTCAAAACATCATCAACAAATCAACATATATAGAGTCCACACCTTATCAAAACAAAATATCAAATTCCATCCCTTTCATGAATCAATATTAAAAAATTTTACACTCTCTATTATGGAAACACAAGGTAAGGTGAAAATATTACCACAAGTGACCGCACCTCAAGCATCTAAATATGAAACTTATTCACTAAGATCAAGAATGGATCACAAATCCAGATCTCATTCTTGTCCAAACAGTCCTTCCATGATTCTAAATGCGGACGAACTTTCCCCACCCTCAACATATTTTCGAAACCGTAGTTTCGGACAACATATTTTATCAAGAAATCATGTTGAGGGTGCGGAAAATTCGACCCTTAATATCGAAGAAACAAGAGATAATATTGAAGTAATGTATCATGGAGAACCCACTTCACCAAAAATATCATGCACGGGACATATCAAGCACAAGAAGAAACAGATCGAAGAAGGGGAAGGCGTAGAGGTAAAGAAACACGAAACTACGTTTCTAAAGATGTTGTTGAATTTGAAGAAGTCAAAATATGAGGTGAGAAGGAAATCCAATGCATCTTGTCTCAAGCTTATAATTAAGTATGCAGTTAAGGAAAGAGCACATAGAAATCAATCTATGCCTATAGAAGAGAACTAACATGGTTTCAATTCATTGATTTAATTCATCAATTATTAAAATTAATTATTGTCTACTATGAGTTTTTTTTATTTTTTATGTAGAAACCAGATATACATACTCTGGACTTCTCATTAAGTTGAGAGATTCTTTATCATCCTCTTGTGGAGTGGTTATTGTTATTATATGATTATAACAACATCAAGTTGATATATAGGAATATGTATTGAGCTTTCACTTGGAAAAAAATTATTTTGATATTTAAATATAAAATTTATTACAATGTTAATTTATATTTTATTATAAAATATATCGATGAATACATTTAAATAGATATTTATTCACATTTTATTTTAATATTTTAATAATATAAAATTAATAGCCGCTAATATTATAATATACACACTCAATTTAAATTAAAAATAAAAATTAATAATATAAGAGAAAAATATTGATAATGTAAAACATTTTTACAAATCAATCAATTATCACTATGAAACTATACTTTTATTTATAAAAAAAATTGATTTTCTATTAGATGATTGTCTATTTTATACTGTGAATATATATCTATTAAATCTATAATATTATTGTTTAATAAATTTATTAATCTAATTATTATTAATACAATTGTAAATGATTTTTAATAGATGTTTTACTAACTTATAATATAATTATAATTGACTAGAATACAATTATCTTATAATAATCACTTTAATGATAGTAATAGACTTCTATATACACTTAATTTTAATGTTATAATAATTAAAAAACAATACAATGATGTACTTTCTTATTTTATTTTAATAATACATATTGCTCGACTCTATTTATTCACATTTGACTAAAATTGTCCGGTTTACCATTTAGAACAAATATGAATAAAAATTATATTGTTGTAAAATTTTATTAAAATTAATTAATTACTTTCAATAATAATTATTTAATACATACAAATTTTTCCATACAAAAAAAAAAATCAAGTGTAGATTTTCATCCTGATTATGTTAGATAAAGATCGTAAATTAAATTGATCAAGGCTAGAATAATGTATGTATTCATTTTCTAAATAGTATTTCAAATACTTTGTAAATGTTTTAGAGTCTACGCGTAGGAATACTTAAGATAACTCAACTTATAATCGAGTTTGCACAAAATGTATGAAAGCTCGAAAGTAGAAAAGATGGAAACACTACTACAAAAAACACATGTGACAACGGTTGTGAAACACATATAAAGACGATTGTACGTCGGTTGTTAGATTGTATGTGATTGTATATATGTTAGTTTCTACAACAGGTGTGTAACTATTGTGATAAGATATGTAAGACTCTACCTATCACATCAGTTATATTAAGAAACAATTATGATAATATTTAGATCATGGGTTCGAAATCCATTAGTAGCAATTTATTTGGACTATAATTAACATTTCACCAATTACAAAAAATAACGTTGTGCTATGTATATTTGAGTTTATTATAAAATATGTAGACTTCTTGTTTTCCCTACACCTCACTAAACATATACAACTATTAAAATTGATATAGAAGATAATAATTTAAAAATTTAAATTATTCTTGAAAAACAACTTAAATGAACTATTTTTTTCCGAATTACATGCATCTCATAATTCATCTCTTGTTATTTAACACATAGAATTTGATTCAATGCCCCGAGTTCTTCAAAGCAATGGTTCATTCTCTCCTAGTTTATTTTACAAATCAATATGATGACATCGATGAAGACATTTTAGAATTTCTCAACAAATTTGATATTTTTCCATATAAAATAAAAGAGAATGAATCGTTGTTTTGAAGAATTTAAGGCATTTAACCAAGTTCTATGAGTTAAAGAGCGATAGCTGAATTATGAGATGCATGCAATTTGAAAAATATTGATTGATCTAAGTTGGTTTTCAAATATAACTTAACTTTCAAATTAATATTTTCTAAATCAATTTAAATTAATGCATGTTCAGTGAAAGGTCAGTGAAACAAGCAATCTACATACGATATAATAAACTCAACTAGATCTTCTGAGAATCATTTGTCAACGTTAACAACATACATCAACATTTATCAACAAAACAACAACATACCTTTTATTGAAAAGTTTTGTTGAATGATCTAAAGTTGATCTACTTTGTATTGCAATGAAGAAAAAATACAATGCAGATGAAGCTTCTAAAATAACTTCATACTTCTTGTATTGTTTCTCCATATCAACAAAAACCATTTATGAACCACACCCATAATATGCATTTTTTTAGTTAATTTGTTTCATTCACTTTCCTATAAGTCAAAAAATACCATGCCAAATGTAAACATGTTTGAAAATATAAACTCAATCAGATTTGAAACATAGACTCTTGAAAATACTGGATTTCAAAATATAAACAACTTTCAGAATATTAACTTGATTTGGAATCATAAACTAGCATTAACAACATCTTAAAATAAACGGAAACATACCCTAAAAAAGAAGTAAATCATGCCAAATGAAAAAAAAAACTTTTAAGAAGAACTAGTGTGATACATGGAACATATATGAAAAATGGAAGAAAGCTAATGGAGAAAAAATATAATGATAAAGTGTATGAACTTGATTATTTTTTAGTTTGAAGAAAGTTACAAGGACGAGTTCAATGCATTAGAAGAGAGAGATGTTAGGATTTTGTTTTAAGTAAAAGGAAGAAAACATATGAATAACATGGAAGAAAGTTAATGAAGAATAAGACGAAAGAGAAAGTTGACGAGCTTGATTACCTTTAACTTTGAAGATGCTTATGAGGACGAGTTCACTACAGGTGGAGTAGAGCATTGTTAGGTTTTGTTTAGAGAGTGACACACTAAAAGAAAATCACCATTTAGCTGTAATTTTTTAGCGTCGGCCCCGACACCGACACTCATAGCATTGCCATTACAGCGGGATAAGCCGACGCTAACTGAATAAAGCCATTTGTTTTATTTTTTTATTAGGACGTTGATCATAGTGTCGGCCACAACAGACGTTAAAACTTGCTCTTTATAATTTCCTTTCTCCATCAATTTTGTTTGCCTCCTTATTATTTATTGTATTAAATAATATTTTTATTTTTAATCGTAGCGACAATTAGGGCCGCCGCTAGTATTAGTGCCAAATTTTCGTTTGCCTCCTTATTAACTACTGTGTTTGCCTCCTTATTAAGTATTGTGTTAAATAAATATTAATTTTTAATAGTAGCAACGGGTTAGACGACGCTAATTTTGGTGCTAAATAATTCATTTCTCTCCACCAATTTTGTTTGCCTCCTTTTTATTTATTATATTAAATAATTATTATTTTTTAATATTAGCGATGCTGTTGGCCGACGCTAATATTAGTGCCAAATAATTTCATTTCCCTCCACCAATTTCGTTTGCCTCCTTTTTGTTTATTGTATTAAATAATTATTAATTTTTAATATTAGCGACGCTGTGGGCCGATGCCAATATTAATGCCAAATAATTTTATTTCTCCACCAATTTGATTCATTTTTTATTGTTTCAAACTATTTGTTAGTATATTATTTTTAACTATAAAATAAAAAACTAATATATTAAGCTAACTAAAATTAAATTTATAAAATAAAATCAATATTATAAATTAGTAAATTAAAATAAAACTTACTAAAATTAAATTTATAAAATAAAGTATAAATTTTATAAATTTAAATCAAAAGTATATTAAATTCAAATTTATAAAATAAAATCAATATTATAAATTAGTAAATTAAAATTAAATTTTAATTAAATTAATAAAATTTAATTAAAGTTTAACTTATAAAATAAATCAAAGCTATGTGTTAATAAAATAATAAAATAAAATGAAAAAATGAATTAAAATTATTTAGTAAAATAAAATTAAAATAAAATAAGTAAAATATTAAAAATTAGTAATTAAAATATCAAAATCTATTTATTAAACTGTATTTAGTAAAAATAAAATAAAAACATAAAGTAATTAGTAAATGTAATTAGAATTGTAAAGAATAAACAGAAGGAAGAAAATCTTTTCAGCTTCTCATTGTTTCATCTCCAGCTTTTCAGATTCTCTCTTCGATTTAGACGGAAATCGTTGTTTCAGTGTTTAGCAATCGTTGCAGGTTGAAATCTTTAATTTCATCGTTTCATCATTTCATCTCCAGATTGGTCTTGTCTCCTATATTAATGTTGATTAGGGAGGATGTCCGGATACAAGATGATCCACTTCAGGGTATTATGTATATTTGGGCAAAAATCTAATCTTGTGGTCGTCAAAACATCAACCTACTTGTAATACAGTGGGAGAATTGACTTTTTTGGTTTTATCGCAAATATTGTGGTTAGCAAGGGTCGCCACTGACTTTTCTTTTATCCAATATTTAGGAAAGATGAAAAGAACAGGAAAGACCTTTAATAGATTTTGAGTTTGGGGGGTAAGTTATGAAAATGGAAGGTGTTAGCACCCTTTTCATCCGTAGTTATCTACCGGTTCTTAATTAATTGCTCAGTTTTAAAAACTTGCTTTACCTGTGTGTGATTTGTTTGAAAATATTTTGAAATGTCAATGTAAGGCTAAGTTTGTAATAATCCTTGTGTCGGTCCTCAAGATTGTATTCAAAGTGTTTTAGAAAATATTTGTTTTGAAAGTGATGTGTAAAAATGTTTTTTTGTGAGCAAGCATTCAAGATTCATACCCACTAAGTATGGCCTTTCTTGTTATTTTTCTTCTCCTTTGGAGATAGTATTATCCATACCATTAGTTGGTAGGTAATCCTATCTATTGGATGTGAAGGGACAGGCGTAGGGTCATCGTATGGTCATCGAAGACAACATGTAAGGATAATTTAGCAAATGTATCAGAGGGACTATCATCATTTTGTTAGTAGGGTCATCGAGGGATTATGATCTTTATTCGAAATAGACCATGATGATATTGTTGAATCGAGGGTCTTGTGCTAAAGTATCCACACTTTCGAGGGACATGACCAATTGTATCGTAAGATAACAAGAGAGGTT